GCGCCTCCCCCCCCCTCCGTTCTTTTTTTTCTTTTTTTTTTTTTTTTTTTTTTTTTCTTCCTTTCCCCCATCTAAATGTAGTGCTGGGCCTCAGGAGGCCCATGAACACAGAGAGCTTCCTACTGAGGTTGTCACTTGACTGACAGCAAAAAGCTTCTGGGGAGATGGACGAGCATGAGTAGGTGGACATAGAAAAATGGAGAATGAAAAGATAAAGTAAAAATAGAACCGAATGTTCATCTAAAATCACAGCCCTTTCAGAGGCTTAATGTAACTTATAAATGTTGTGTTTGTGATTGGAAAAAACATAAAGCAACTCTGAATGTATAAGCATGCATGTGTGTGAGACATTTGATATCCATTCAGTGTTCTGTTAGAAATTACATTAACTACAGAGATACACCGGAGACAATGCCCTTGTATCAATGCCCAATTATTTATACACTAATATATTCCCTCAGCGCTTTAAAATACGAGGAGAACAAGTTGTGAGTGAGTAGGAAACACAACAATATTTCAGTCCTTCCACTTCAAGATGATTTACAGTTTCTCAGAGGCTCCGTGTTTGTGTTTTCATGTGCCTGTTTGTCTGTACCACTCCAGCCCTGATCTCTAAATAAATCGGCTGGGGTTGACCTCTCTGAAGCAGACAGGATCAAACATTTAACACACTGTCATAATTGTTACAGTGTCTGCTGCAAGTGAATACAGTTTCACTGAGGAACTGAGACAAATACAAGGTCTGAGACAAATACCAGAGACGCTGGCTGTGCTTTATTGAGCTGCATTAAATTGACCATTTAAATGGTGTAAACTCCTTGATGGTGCAAACATGATTAGATCCCATCAAAGCCAAATCACTCCTGCTAGTGAGGTACAATAACAGAAGTTGTCAGGTTGGCAGCAGTGCAGGCTGCTCAGGTAATAGTCGCTTAAGACAAATGTAACAGCTCCAACGGCTGTAACAAAATTTTAAGGAATAAATTTTGATGTCAGATACTTTGTTAAAGGGTGGAGTTACTGGGTGAAGCGGAGAACAGGATTTAGTCCAAGTATCGATGACATCTGTTAAAACCAAGCTGGGCTTTTACGATTCGTTGAAATGACACAAAGTAAGGAAATTGTGATTATTTTGGCAAGACTTCTTAAAAAAAACTCCACATACTGGAGCCAAAATATAATAGATTTGGTTGGATTGCAAACCTTTTATTTTATGACATTTGCAGGCCTTTTTTACATTGTCTGTGTTTATTTTATGTGACTTTTTAAAACAAATTAAAATTACATTAAATTACTGAAAAAAATTAAGGTTTCAAAGCATTTTATATATTTTTAATGACGACTGACTCTTCTTGCATTGCCACAAAAATAACTTTAATTAAAAAAAGATGTTTTGATGCATCACCATTCCCATAAAGTTTCTCCTGACTAGTAGTAGATCTGTCAGAGGCATCAAAGATATGAAAAGAAGAACATTCAGATAGTTTTAATTGAGGACTGCCTATATTTCTGTGTAAATAATAAAAAAGGCACTAAACCTTTTCTTCCTTCTCATTAGGCCAAGAATTCTTGCAGATAATTAAAGTCAGGAAGTACAACTTTTAACAGTTGCATTGACTGTGCTACACTGTTTTCTAACTCCCATTATCCAAGCAGCCGCTAAAAAGATTTATTTTCTACGGAAAGAGAAAAACACACCAGCTATCTCTGCAGGGTTATCATTAAGGTTCTGCCAGTGGGAGCTCCAAAAGAAATGTTCAAGGCTAAGGAAAACAATCTGAGCCTCAGAAATAGGAACCTCGTTGTAAATACTGTGTTAATAAACCTTCTTAAAAGCAGTTTTAAGAGCCAAAAAACGTATCCTCCCTAGATCTTGACCTAAAATCTAACCAGATAAAAGATACTCTGTGTTTTAAGCAAAAAAAGTGTCACTAAGGGTGTGTTTGTAAGTATTATGTTTCACAGATACTTGAATTCGGGGAAAAGCAGAGCGATTTAAAGAGAAAACAGCAGGTTCTGAGCAGGCGTGTTTCCTGATCCACAGAATTGTTAGTCAAACTTTAAGTCGCTTTCCAAGTATTTTTTTTAGCTAATCGAGCCTGGAAAGGCTTTCTGTGCGGAAGCTACGGCTAACTCTGACAAGGATTCGTTTTATCCCAGACGGAGGAAAACCCCTCGGAGAGTCTGGGTGCGATTCCCCGAGTGCGGGGTGCCGGGATGCTGCCGGGGGAAGGAGCTGCGTCCGCCCGGAGCGAGGGGAGTGCCGGGGGTGCCGAGAGGGCTGTGCAGGAGCGAGGGAGCTGCCCCCACGGGAGAGAGGGGGGCCCTCACCGCCTCCGAATCTGCGGGAAACTGAGGCAGCACCGCCGCCAAGAGCCTCGGCTGGGAGCGCGGGGGACTCGGCGCCCGAAGAGGGAGGCGCTGCGGGACGCGCCGGCTCTGGAGCTTGCCGAGGCTCGGGCAGCGGGACCCAGAGCGGCGGAGGGACGGAGCATCGCGGGGAGGGCAGCTCGGGAGCTGCTCGGTTTTCCCCGGTCCCGCAACGCTGTCCCGGCAGGGGGCCAGCGCGGCCGGACAGACAGACAGGTCCGGGGGCAGATCTGTGAGTGAGTACGGACCGTCCAAGGACAGTTCTCAGTCCACTGACGCTGCCTGACCGCCCCAAGGCTTAGCGGGCTTCTAAAAAACTACGATTTTGTTGTCAAGGCGCATTTAGAGAGTATTTTTTAAGAAGTCGGATGTTCAAAGCAAAGCGGGGCTGCGGCCGCACAGCGCAGGTTCCCGGGGACAGCCTAAGGGCATCAGCCAACACAGGTGTCCCCGGGCACGGCTCGGATGGACGCGTCCCGCGTGCGGCTGTGGACGAGGGGGATGTTCACGAGCTTGTCCCGATGGATTTTAGCGTTCAGAGGGACTCGCTTCCATCCCGGCTTTCCCACCAGCCCGCCCCGCCCGGGCGCTGCCCCGGTGCATAAAAGCGTGAACGACTGGCACCTTCGCTGAGAGCGCCGGGGCTCGTCCTCTGCCGCTCACAGGGGACCCGCACTGCCCATCCCTGCCCATCCCTGCCCGTCTCTGTCCGTCCCTGCCCATCTCTGTCCGTCCCTGCCCATCTCTGTCCATCCCTGCCCATCTTTGTCCGTCCTTGCACATCTCTGTCCGTCCCTGCCCGGTCCCGGGGAGCCGCTGCTCCCGCCAGGTGGCGCTGTTGCTCAACGGTGGCGCCGGGCCGGGCCGGGCCGTGCCGGGCAGGGCGGCGGCAGCTCCGGGGATGCTCCTGGGACGCGGGGCCACCGCGGGCCCGGCGCGGGGCAAGTCGACGCGGGGCACACCGCGGCCGCGGTTCCCCCGCCACTCTGCCCCTCCTAACTTTGTCTTTTCGCCTTTTCCATCATCCTTGGGAGTTGGGGCACTGTTAAGGCCGGAGACCCCCGCGGAGAGCCCGCCGGCCGCGGCCGCTCGCTGTGCCGCCGGCTCGGGGCCGCGCTCCCACACGGCCCGGCCGGAGCGCCCCTCAGCGCCCGGCCCGGCTCCCCGCGCCGAGCGCCCGCGGGGCGGGAAGGGGCGGGGCGCGCGGCGCGGAGCGGGCGGCGATTGGCTGAGGCGCCTGACGGACGGGCGGGCCCCGCCCCCTTGGCAATGTCTAGCGCGCGCCGCGCGCCCCATGTAGGCAGTTATTCCGCTGGGATAGCGCGGCCGGAGCGCGGCGGCATGGCCGGGGTCCCGATCTGCGCCCTCCTCCCGCTCCTCGTCGGCGTCTGCGGCGCCGTCACCGGCTCACGGGTCTATCCCGCCAACGAAGGTGAGGTTTGCCGGCCGCCGGGCTGCGCGTTCTCCCGGCGGGGCGCCGGGGGCGAAGTTCGGTGTCCCCGGGCGGGCGGCGGTGCCGTCCCGTCCCGTCCCCGCCCCGCCGCTCCGCTCGCCGCCGGGACGGCGCTTGCCCCGCGCTGCCCCGGCCGGTCGCTGCCCGTCCGGCGGCCGCGGACCTGCCCGAGCGGCGCTGCCGGGGCCGCCCGCGGTGCCGGCACAGGTGTCGCGGAGCGGAGCGGCCGCCGCCTGCCCCGCGCGTCCCCCCGCGCCCCGGGCCGCTGCCCCGGCCGGGCCGGGCCGCCGAGCCTCAGCGCTCCCTCGAGCGGCGCCGGGCCGGCCCCGGATCGCAGGGCGGCTCATGAAACCGGTTCTCCCGGGAGCGCTCGGCGGCTCCGCGCCGTTCCCCGGGGCCCCGGTTCAGCCCGTTCTGCGGGACGGTCCGGGGGAAGCCCGCGGCCGTCCCGAGGTGTGGGCGTGGGGCGCCGCTCGCCTCGGGAGCCCCTGCCAGCTCTGTCGGTGCCCAGCCGTGCTCTCGGAAAGTACCGGCTCTGAGCCCATCGCCGGCTGCGGGCGCGCTGTCCCGGGCGGCGGGAGGTGCGGTGCCCAGCGCCGGGGCAGCGCTCCGAGAGGCGCTCCGGTGTGTCGCAGGTGTGCCGGGACCCCGCCGCTCCCCTCCGCGCCCCTGAGCGGCTCCAGCGAGCCGGGAAACGAACGCGCGATTCCTCAGAGGGAGTTTCGAAGTGTTTTTAAGAAATTGACGCGGTCGGAAATAACATTTCATTTCAAGTGGAAGGGGGATGCGATCGTGGTCCGCACATATGGAAACGTTCAGGTAAACCATTCATTTTAATATTGCCTTTTGGCAGCTGGAATTTAATATCTTTTATTTGTACCTTTCTGCAGTTACCTTGCTGGATTCCAGATCAGTTCAGGGAGAACTGGGGTGGATAGCAAGTCCCCTGGAAGGAGGGGTAAGTTTTAAACCGCTATCTGATCAAAAGGGTAAAGGGGGTGATTAGTAACTTTCAGAGAGTCCTAATGGCTCGATTATTGTTGATTGTGGTGAGGAGGTCAGATTTCTTCCCTGGCTTACCAAGTGAATTACTCTTTGTTGGAGAAACTCTATACTCCCTTTGGATAGTTCTGTCATAGAATAAGTGGAAACCAAAAGGGCAGAAAAGAGGTTTCAGAATTAAGAGATTGGTTGAGGCATGGTCTTAGATGCCTGTTTAAAACTGAAATACCAACAAGAAATGTGATCTGCTCACTGAATTGGCATTCTTGACTGCAATTATTTTATCTGTGGACTGTCTCGGCTGGGAGATGTTCAGGGCAATTGCCGTTCTATTTCTGGATGAAGGAGTAGGGATCAATAGACACGAAAGACCTTTTGTTATGATGGGACAGCTGTCCTGTTTCAGAGTGTAAACATCGTGTGTTTTGGCTTCTGAACAGATAAATTGCAGCTCCCAGTGCTTGACTGTGATTCCTTGAAGTTTCTTTATATGTAGTTTTACAATTGTCCTGTTGAACAGACGGCTGCTCGAATGCACTGCCCAGTGGTGATGTGATGACGTTAAGAGGTTCATTGCTGGGCTTAGAGTCCCTTTGCTTAGAGGGCTGCACACAAGGTAGCTTTATTTTTTGGTTTGGCTTTATATTATTGGATTCTCCGTGCTGCTCCCTCATCTGTGCCCCGACCTGCAGGGTGCCCAGTGCGTCTCTGGGAAACTCCTTCGAATGTTGGACTCTGGAGTTGCTGAGATCTGGAGGAGACTGTACTTCATGGGACTTTCTTTTAATAAGCAATTAGAAAGGCTTTTTCTTTCTTCATATGAACAATTTAAGGAAAAATGCCAGCAATGCACACTAAACATGAATGTAAAAAAAAAAAAATCCTTTTAATATGAAACGAGTAAAAGCAGCTTGGAATCCTTAAGCAGAAGTAACTAAGTTAAAGTGTTTGAAAAAGGAAAGTGCTGAAAGATCAGGACCTGTGCACACCAAAGCACTGGATTCTTCAGGAAACCTACAAATTTACTTTCTTTTTTGGTGTGCGTTCCCGCTCATAATTAGAAGAAGCAGAGCTAAGGAAACAGCAGTGAGCGGAAGGAATCCGAGGCTGCGTTGGCTGGTGATGCATTATGCATAAGCTCTGAATAACCATAACATGGGAGAATGGGGGATTGTTTTGCTCCCCCATTGTTGTTCTGGGTGAACTTGACTACAATCCTGGCTTGTGCTCTGCCTGAGCACACTGTGCTGTCCCCGAAACTTGGTTTTTCAGAGAGTGGGGATGTGATTGGCAGGCCTCTGGCAGCGCCCACGGTGCACATTCGGTGCTGATTGCAGGCAATTGCCCTCATCTTTTGACAGCGTGGAAAGGTACAGCTCTATCTCGGTGAGACTCGGGCTTCCCTGTTAATCCCGCACCCTGGAAATGTCGGTTAATGAGACTGGGTCTTTCGGACACCTCTCCAAGGGATATCTGTGCTGTGCATTAAAACACAGCCTAAAATACAAGTTTTAATAAGTCGGCAGTGGAATCAATGATGAGAGGACAGCTGTATATTATTAATGGCTCTTGGATTCCCCCTTTCTCCACATGTTTTTTCTGAAAGCACCATGCAAGCTTGAGAAGGAAAAATGTGTGCTCTTATTGTGGACGTGACTTGTTTCACTAAACCTACATACGTGTGTTCTATTTTTAAGCCTGTAGTGAAAAATTTAAGAGTACATGGTCTGTTTCTGAGATACAGTGCTTGGAAAGCATTTACTTTGCTTCATATGCTGCAGATTTATTTCAAGCAGCGGAAACAAACTCCTTTATCTTCCTGGGAAGAATTTTTCCTTCAGTGTTTTTCTTTAACTGTGTATACTTTGTCTGTTAAAAAAAGGTATTTTTCTAGATCTGAACCACACTGTTCCTGGGGTCTGAGTGTTGTGTGGATAAGAGGGCTGGAGATCAAGATAGTCATTTAGCAGTGACTAGCTATATAGTAGCCCCAGAGGAATTAATGAATTGCATTATAAATGTAATTAATGATTTACTCTTGCTTTTCACACTTGAAAAGCAGGTTTTGTGCCCAGAATGTTTTAATCTGCATCATTAAACTGTGGGAAGAGCTGAATTATAAAATTTAATTTCAGCTTGAAAGCAAAAAGTTACAGCTTTGACCACATACTTAGAGTTACAAGTCATTTGCAGTGGCTGGAAATTTTGGTCTGTAGGTTTTTTTCAGCTCTGTCAGAAAGATGCACTTGGGTTTGTTTTGTAATTTTGTGCCTTAATGAAATAAGAAGCCCAACTCTGTACATTTGTGTGCCGGTCAGCAGATGGGTGTGTTGAGAACACGATCCAAAAACTTGCTGAATTCAGTTGCTGTGTGTCTGTTGACCTCAGCGGTCTCTCTATTGAATCCTCTAGCAGCATCCTCCATTGTGTGAATGCACTAAAGGAAATCCCATCAACAAGTATTATTTCCCTCTGCTTCTTCCTTTCTCTTGTACCACACACAATATTGGTAGCGTAGGCAATCTGAAGATAAGCAGAATGGAAAGTGATGGATCATAAAGACAATATTGTAACAGTAAACTAGCTCTGTGGTGCTCTAAATTAAACAAGTCTGTCTTCTTACTAACAATGTCTTACACTTTACATTGATAGATGACTTTTTAAGATATATTTCTTCCTTTTCTCTGGAAAGGAGTGACATGCTGAGTATTGATTTCCCCCCTCCTTCATTTTAATTTGCAGTTATCTCTAGGCAGCAAATAAAATATTATTCTTTCTGCTCCTAGTGACTCATGGTGCTAACTGCTGTCATTCTGTAAACAGATTCAGCTAAGCTGGAACCTTTTTAAGTAAAAATCACTTGCATGAGAGCAATCCTTGTGAGAAGAATGCAGAATATTATATGAGAAGCCCCTTCATCTTAAGAAGGCTTCTGTTTATCAAAGCTATGGCTTCAGTAGTTCTGAAAAGCACTTCTGAGAAGTCTCTTTAAAGTTCTTACTGTTTTCTAAGGATAATTTTATATGATTCATTGTATTGCCTGTAAACCTAGTCAGCATATCATTATCTAATATTTTTATAGGGAAGGATAAATTGAATAATATAAATTGAAGTACTATGGTTTTGCTGGTTTTTTTGTTTGTTTTTTTTTCCTGGAAAGTTTTCTTTTCCTAATGCCCCTACTTTGCCTTCTCTCCCTGCCAGTACAGCACTGTGATAAACTTTCTTCTGTCTAAGAGAATACTTTGACCAATTTTTTTCAGAAGTGTTGAGTATGTGTACTTTCCTTTTCTGAGTTCATTATGCTGAACTCCTGCATCTCCCCATTCTGTACCCACCTTGGATTGCATGTGTTGTTGTTGTTTCATAATCATGCTGCCTAGTTGGCACTTCTGAAGATGCCTGAACTTGATTTGAGGGGTGTAACTGTTTTGAAGAATGCTGCTATCCCAATCTTTCAGCACTTTCTCTCTCTGCTAACCTTTTTGGGATTTTGATAATATGAATTTAGCTGTTCCCTGACATTTACTCCAGAAAAAAAAAAAGAAAAAAGATGTGTAGTATTTCTCTTTTTACCTTCCCTCTAGTAAGAAACTGTTTAGATAGCAAAGTTACGGTGGTGTTGCTGGTAGACTGACAATGTTGTCTCTTTACCTGTTTTTCCTTCTCTAAGAGCTACCCAAATCAAGGACCTGGTTCTCTGTAGACAGCTATTTCTGCTGCAAAATAGAATTTACTGAGTCTGTTTGCGATATTGGTAGCTCAGGAAAGTAGTTGGCAGATTAGAGGAATAATAAGGGATCGCTTAAGAGCTTTTTAAGTAAGTGGTAGCAATGCCTGAAATGTGATTGCCGCTCTCTCTGTGTGACTTAAGCCGTGCTGTGTCACCTGTTGGATATTCCCAGGTGCAAGGCAGGGTCCATGAGATACCTGCTGCAGAAAAAAAACACTGCAGGTCAGCACTGCTCTGTGAGTCTGTAAAGCTCTGTGTGTAGCCCTGCTCTAGGCAATGTGCTGTGGACTGAGCTGTACTGCAAATAAACCTGTCAGTTGAGGGAGCATTCTTGCATTGGTTCAGAGGGCCCTTAAAACACATGCTTGCTCCTCGAGGCATGAGGGGATTTGGAATTTGTTTCTCCTGAGCAGGTGCTTCCTTTAATGTCCAAGTAGTTGAAGTCCTGGTTGTGGCTTGGTCTGCTGGGCTGTTTTTTGGTCTATTTCACTGTAATGGGACAAGTGCATCTTATTTTTTTGTGAAGCTGTTGTTCCTTTTAATACTGATGTATTCTCCTCCTCCTTTTCCTCCCTGCAGTGGGAGGAAGTGAGCATCATGGATGAGAAGAACACTCCGATCCGCACCTATCAAGTCTGCAACGTGATGGAGCCCAGTCAGAATAATTGGTTACGAACTGATTGGATTCCCCGTGAGGGGGCTCAGAGGGTTTATATTGAAATCAAGTTCACACTAAGAGACTGCAACAGCCTGCCAGGTGTCATGGGAACTTGCAAAGAGACTTTCAACCTTTATTACTACGAATCAAACAATGATAAAGAGCGTTTTATTCGCGAGAGCCAGTTTGCCAAGATAGACACCATTGCTGCTGATGAGAGCTTCACTCAGGTGGACATTGGTGACAGGATCATGAAGCTGAATACAGAGATCCGGGATGTGGGACCACTCAGCAAGAAGGGGTTTTATTTGGCTTTTCAGGACGTCGGTGCCTGCATTGCTTTGGTCTCTGTCCGTGTGTTCTATAAGAAGTGCCCGCTGACGGTTCGGAACCTGGCGCAGTTTCCAGACACCATCACTGGGGCTGACACCTCCTCGCTGGTGGAGGTTCGCGGCTCCTGTGTCAACAACTCAGAAGAGAAGGATGTGCCAAAAATGTACTGTGGGGCAGATGGCGAATGGCTGGTGCCCATTGGCAACTGCTTGTGCAATGCTGGCTACGAGGAGCGCAACGGAGAATGCCAAGGTAGGATGAGCCATATTGAACTGTTCATTAGGGCTCAGTGGAATGCATAATTGAATCGGAGATGAGCGTAAATGGACCAAAGCCAGTGATTAGCAGCCCTCTGGGATGTGGTGGGACAGAGGGGTCTAATGAAGAAGTCCAATAGCTCCAGGTGGCAAGGCTAAGAATTATATAATGCAAAACAAATGATACTGCTGAAATAGGCAGAAGGTGAAACACATTTTCTAGCAGATGCCTAAATTTGATTTGGCTCGTGATAGTCACCAAAACGTGGATGACTGCAAAGCAGTGCAGTTGAGCTACTGTTATTTGAAGAGACAAATCTTTCAAGGGAACTTTGTTAAACACAGGAAATTCTGACAAAGTCAACTTTGGAAAATGCAGTAGGTTAAGAACCAGTCTGGGAAGCAGGACAGGAGTTTTAGCTGGATTACTTTCCCACTTTAGGAAGTGGAAATCTTTGGTGCTTTACTTGTTGCAAATTTCTAGCACCATTTCTAGCATCCATTTCTAAATACCCTTTGATATTTGACACTGCTGCCTTTGTTAAATATTTTCATTTCTCAGAGAGTCTCTATTGTCAGTTAAATAATAGAGGTGCTAGGATACTCTTAGAAATGCTAAAAGTCTCCACCCCACCCCACCCTCCCACACACACGCATACACCATCCTGTGTGCTGCAGAATTAGGGATTAAAGTTTGTATAAAAGAAAGATTTGCCTAAAAGAAAAAACCTCAATGCCTATATTCTCTTTGCATCCCTTTTCTGGATAAAGAAGCTGTAGAAGGTTAGGGAAGGAGAGAAGAGAGTTTATAAATAAAATATCTTTAGCCTCTGCTTTGAAAGTCTTGCTCATGTAAGCATAAATTAAGATCAAACTTAAATGGATTCTTGCACAGGTCACTGAGCTTAATTTTGCTGGGTGCTGAATTGAAGGTGCTCAGCTCCTTCTGGGATTTGGAGCCATGTTTTTAGAAAAGGTTCTTTGGAGTCAGTTGCCTCATCTTCATGTGTGTTTTACTAGAGCATTTTTATCATCTTGAGACTGAGAACAAGTTAGCAAAACAAGTAACTGGCTCCTTCTGTGATGGACTCCTAAGAGAATGGTGTCTTTTGAGTGTCCTACTTGATTTCTTTTAAATGGTAATTTACAGTCAATATGAAGTTCATTATTATGCACTGAAATTAAATTTTGGTAGGAAAGAACTGCAATGTGTGAACTTCAGCCTTAATTTACTGAGTTTTTGCTCTATGACAGAAGCCTAATCTGTGGCATAGTGGCAACAAAATTGCCATGGGCTGAAATTACAGAGGACTGAAGGATGAGCTGCACAGTGACAGGGCATCCTGTCTGGGGTAAAATAATCTGATTTTTCTTGGGTTTTTTTTTTGTTTGTTTTTTTTTCATACTGTGAGATGGAAACTTGAAGGCCTATTTGTCATAAAGTGTATGAAGCTGTGGCTGTGGTACTGCCTGGGTGCTGCTGGGGAAGCCCAGTGGTGGCTGGGGAGATGTTCTCTTACAGCTCAATAACTTCTGAGCAAAGCTTCCTGACACCTTACCAGCCTGGGCTGTGAGAGAAGAAAGTGAAGTGGAGAAGCATTTATTGGTTTATTGCACAGAGATGATTCCACCTTCTCTTAAAGGCCTATTAGGTCAGCACTGGGTCACTCTGACTGACACAGATCATCCATTTTTCAGTGTCAAAGGCCCAGATGTGGTAAGCTAATTGTCCAACAAATCCTGTGTTGTTCAGGGGAAATCTCTTGAGGTTTTGCTGATGGGCAGTGGTTATAGTGGCATACTTTTTAAGCTTATTTTTGTAGTGTTGGACTAGACCTTGGGGATGACTGTCAGTTTACCTAAAGGCTCTCAGCTGCATCTGGAGATGTTTGGGCTCAGGAAACCCAGTTCTCCATTTCCCAATTAAGAGGAAGATCAGGTGATGCCATATTGACAAAGGTGTTAGAAACAGTCTGTCTCTTGGGCTCTGCAGAGTGAAGTTGGCCTGTGCTAGTCATTTTGAGAGCGTTTGAGCCAGCGCATAATTGAAAGTGCTAAACTCATTTCATCAGCTGTTACTTGTGGTTTCCTTTTCTCACATTTGCCATTCTCCAGCCAGAACAGTTAACTGGGAAGCTCCTCCTGATGAACTCATGAAGCTCACCAGAACTGTGCAGCTTCTCTACGGTTTCCAGCAGGCTGTTCAAGCAGTTTGGCCTTTGACACTACTGAATGAGGCTTCCCCTTTTCTTTCCACTCTTTGCTTAATCGTTCAGCTAATGTTCTGCTCTGACAGGTTTTTGGAAGGGAGGAGGAGGATGAAGTGCGAGGATTCCTGTGGTTTTGGTAGAGAGGACTGGGGGCAGGGGAAGAGACTGAGTTTGGGAAAGGCTGTGATGTGAAAGGGCGTTGGTGTGGGACGAGAGCTGGTGAGCAGGTTCCACCTCAATTGTTTTTCAATAGGTTGACTGTGGCAGGACAAATACAACAAAAGGTCAGAGGTTGTCTGTTTCCTCATCCATCTTCCCCTGTGATCCTAGGGTCGGAGTTAGGATTGATTAAGATCTTAAATGTTTAACAAAAGCTCAGTGGGCAGGAATAGCTCTGGCCAGTGGATTGGGGCTTTGCACTTGTTGGGAGACCCCCAGTCTATGTTGGAGCTCCTTGTCCTCTCCTGGGACCTGCTCCCTGCCACACAGTGCTGGGACAGACCAGTTGGCCCTTGAGTTGTCCTGCAAGCTGCTTCAAGTTCACTCACCCTCCCAACTTTTAAATAATACATTTTCCTTGAGATTCTTCTGCGTAATTTCTGATGTGTGTGTGGGAAGCGTAATGGAAAGCCTTTTCACATCCAAAGTTCTTGTAGTGGGAGTTAATGACTTCCTGACCTCAAGTGGGATTTTTGAAAAATTGTGTTGGTGGTATGGAGGTGTTTGAATATGATGACAAAAAACTGTCCTTTCTCTGACTGCTATTTTTTTTCCAGTTGACTTTATTGATGATGATTGTCTTACTGAGCATCTGTGTGTGCGTATGTATATATGCAAAAATGTGGGACAGGAAGGAAAAGGAGCAAAGTACTTAATCCATATTTAATTGGGAAGCTTCACAGGCCTGTCATGGCAATGGTTCTGCAAAATTGGTCCTGATAGTAGAAATTTTACGTGAGCTCTGTTTCTTTGCTTGCTGTAGCAACTTGTAGCTGTGAATTAGATGCCCCCCCAAAAAAATCCAGTTTACTATTTCTACTACTGTTTATTCTCCCTCAAATGTTCTATGTTAGTGGCTATCCATTTAGAAGAATATGAATGTGGAACATTGTTGCTGGAATATGACTATCCCAAATAGTGGCACATCTCAAGGCTAAGGCAATTAGTGCTTTAGGGCAAAGCTGAGACAAAGTAATTTTAAACTTCACTTGTACTCATCATTGTTATGTAAATTGTTTTGTTACACATTAATAAAATGTGGTTTGGATTTAGTTACGATTTCCTTATGATAAAACACGTATCTTTCTAACTCAAAGGAGGAGGGGGGAAAACAAGCAGGAAGGGAGAAAAGACAGATTAAAGAAGCAATAGACTGTAGCCATCTGTGATGATTTTGATGCTGTGAAATTACAAATCTCAATTTTAGACCTGCCATTTAGTATAAATATGTGAGACAGTTGAGATTTTTACTGTGATATTGTAAAGGTTATGAGAGCCAACAGCTTTGTCTTCATCTACACTTGCTTTTTCTGAGTTGTGAATTGGCCAATTGGCAGAAAATCCAGTGTCATTTAAAATATGGCTCAGTCCTGGTTTCATATCACTGCTGTTTTTAGAATTTTCCTTCAAACTTTGATAAGAGCATCCCTAAGAAGTAATAATTTGAATGATAAGATTCTTTTTATCTCAGAGGCTTTGAAGAGTGACTGTGATCATTGAAAGCAGCAGTTCGGTTTACATCAAAAGTGTACAGTCTAATTATATGTTTTTCTGTGATAAGATTCTTGGATGGTGGATTTTTTTGAGGATGGGGAAGTAAAGTAATTTGTGTGTGCTTTCCCGTTTTAGTCATAGATAACTTTTTTGTCAAAATAGCACTGATGTACAGTCTGTCTGCACAAAAGGGTGATCAGAAGGGTGACTAAGACTGTGCAGATTTGAGATTTCAGAAAGATTTTTTTTTTTCAGGTTGATTATTTTTGGCAGGGGAAAAAAATGCACAGACCCAACATGTTACGTTTTAAAAGGAGCTAAGAAGACGGAAGCTACAGGCGGGGCCTGGGAGCGATACTGAAACACAGTCTGTCTGAACCAAATTTAGTTGGTTCTCTTCTCTGCTGATTTGGTTATGTTCTCATGTAGCTCAATAGATCTTCCAAGGGTTGCTCCCTCTGTGATTTTCTTGTACCACCTGGTGCATTTCAAAATCTGCATTTAAATGTCATTGCAGGAGCTCTATTGCTTTTCTCCTGCCTGGCCTCCTCAGAAGTCAAGTTACAGCTGCCAAACAATTGTCCCTTCATGTATTGCTTGGAGAAAGGCTGTGATTGCTTCCTTTTGAATTTCTGACTAGACTTCTGCTAGTACACAGGGGAGCAATATCTGGTTCTTATTCTGTGTGTTACTGGTGAAAAGCACAATCCTCAGAACCAAAGCCATGTGAGCTTTGTGGTGGTAATGAATTTCATGGTAGGTCTGGGTAGTCAGTCTTTAGTGGGACTTCCAGCCCATCTTCTGGTTTGTGTTCTTGTAGGATTAAAAAAAAAAAAAAGGCAATCCAAGACTTTCCAGACAACTCATCCAGTGTGTGATGGGTTCAGTATTTAGATCTTGGCTGGGTAAGGGTTATTATCTGTCTAATAATATGCTCCACTGAGCTTGGTCTTTATTGTGCTTGTGAGTAGTGATTAAAGAAATGCTCAGCAGTACTCTAAGGTCTTTTGAGACTGCATCAAAAAGCCCCCCAAACTTGTGAGATAAATATCTTATCTGGTTTCGTCCCATT